CATAATTCAAGCAAAAGTACGCACACACGCACGCATACTGTGGGTGCATTTGCACTTAGAACCGTGTTTTCCAATTATCTCTTTCCATTTTTTTGATTCACAACAATTTACTCACCAATTTGTGGGTGATGAACCAATGAGACCGCAGGAGAAATCACCGCGTCCTATTAAAGCACACCAGTCGAGGCGCGCGACATAAGAGACAACAATGTTGGGTAGCGCAGACAGAGATGCTATTTGTTCACTCTCAATCCTCCTAGGCAATCATCGCAACGCCTTGAGTTGTGCGGTTAAACCCCTTTCCCTACTTCTGCCAGACAAATATGCACCCTGTGTGGTTCCCACTGTTCCATCACCCAAGGAACTGCTCTCTCCCAACTGGGGACTTAGTCGACCCAGAGGTAAGCAATGTTGCTCTTCTACACTGGCAAACATATAACTAGGCTGTAGCTCATGTTTATCTCCTTTAGAATATGTCAAACTCCTTGAGGGTTTAGTTAGTTCCTGGCGGATATTTGCAACCAAACGCGAGGTCCACGTACTTAATGATACTCCCTCCTACCTAACACAATCCAACCACGAAACAATGACAAGCGAAAACCTCACCGAATCAGATGAAAACACTTACAAGGAATCCTCTTGCTCACCTCCCGACTCTCCTACCACCTCATCCTCCCTCTTATCTCCACCGTCATCTGCGACAACAGCAGCATCAACGAGCGCTTGTGCCACACCAAAAACTTCGACTGAGACATCATTCAGAGGAGTACCTGATTCTACTGAGCATGGAAAGGAACGTAGCAGTCGGGCCAAGCGTTACCGCAAGGCACGTGCTTACTTTCAGCCGCACCACCTGTACGCACTGGAGAGCTTTTACAAGCATCAAACCTACCTCTCAACACATGACAGAGAATTGCTCTCTCAGAGACTGGGCCTTTCAGAGGATAGGGTGAGCTCCTTACATTCATTTCTTATGCAATAAAATTGTAATTTTTTAATTTAAAAAGACAAGCGCCGCCATAAGTTACAACCTCAAACCGTCTATTTGTTGATTTGTTTTAGATAAGAACATGGTTTCAA